AAACCCTGTCTCAAAAAAAAAAAAAAAAAAAAAAAAGAAGAAAAAGAAGAAGCATGAGAGGAAGGGGTACTAACAGCTCCAGTTGCACAGTCTCCCCAGGGCTCTTCTCTGTGACACAGCTCCTCCAGCTGTCCACGGTGGCCAGGCAGAGTAGGTCCTGACCTCCTTGGGTATGCAATAGAAGCTAGATGCAGCTTGCAGTCCCTGGAGCCATTTTGACCCTGTGCCCGTCCACACAGGCATACATAGCCACCAAGCCAGAAATGGGACAGCAGATGAGTCCCTCGGAGCTGAGCCACCCTGTGCCCCTGTCCTTGGAGCCCGTCAAGAACTTCTTTAAGGAGTTTGTGGAAGCCATCAGGAACACATTGCAGGCACCAATGGACACGCGCCTCAAGGAAAGTGAGTTGCTTGAGACCAACTCTGAGTCCCTGCTCCCTGTGTTATGGACCTGACAAAAGCCACTTAAGGAAGGAAGGGGTTATTTTGGCTCACGGGTACAGCCTGTCGTGGTGGGGATTCATGGCGGCCGGAGGGTGCGGCCACTGGTCCCACCACATCTGCGGGCAGGAAGCAGAAGGAGATGGTTCTGGTGCTCGGCTCACAGTTGCCTTTCTACCCAGTCTGGGACCCCCACCTCTGGCACGGTATCTCCTACACTTAGGATAAGTTATCCCAGTCTAGAAACTCTCTTGAAGATCTTCCCAGAGACTTGTTTCATGCAAACTTAAATCCCAAGTTGACAATCAAATCCAGCATACCCCACTAACACCTTACTCAGAGAAACAGAAATAGCTGACAACTTAAGGCACAAGATGCTCCTGGCTTAGTGTCCAACCTACCCCCACCCCCATGACTTGAAAATGGAACCCACTCGGGGCCTCAAGCATGAAGCAAGCAGATTCTCTGCCCCTGGGGCCCATCCCCAACTCTCTTTATTTTGAGAGCTTCTCTGTTAGGTTGCTCAGGCTGGTCTTGACCTTTCATCCCACCCAACTCAGTCTCCTAAGTAGATTACAGGTGTGTGCCACCATGCCCCATTCCAATTCATGCCATATCCATCTCTCTCTCTCTCTCTCTCTCTCTCTCTCTCTCTCTTACACACACACACACCTACCTCCAGGGACCAGTCCCAGCATCCCTGCAGGTGGCTGACACAGGCTGCACACTAGGAGCTTTTTTAGTCACTGGCTCACTCCCCTCCTTGTCACTTGACCTCTGCCCTACGCAGAGGCCCTTCCAGGTCCTCCTCTGGTGGCCTGCCTAGGGCTTTATGAGATGGACACAAGAGCCCCTCCTCAAGCACAGTCAATGCCTAGAGGGCAATACCCATTTGGGGTCCAGCTCTGAAAGTACTCACAAAGCCTGAGGCAAACCAGGTCCTTAGAGGTCCCCCAGATCCTTTCATCTGCCCTCAGCTATGGTAGCAATTCAATCTGGCAGAACACTGGCTGCATGCCTGTTCTGAACCACCATTTCCGGTGCTCACAGCCCTGTGAGGGGAAGACAGACGCCATGTGTTTTGGGCCACAGGAACTGCTGTGGGGTAAAATAAAGCCAGACAGAGATGAAGAGCCATTTCATAGCTGACACTGAGGAAGCCTCTCTGAGAAAGTCCCAAGGCAAACCAGAGTGTCATTCTGTAGGCCCTGGAGACCTGATGGCAGGAAGCACAGTGCTAGGGGGTCAGGGGGAGCACCAGCTCATCCATGGTGTGAAGTCACCATGGGAGCACACAGCTGTGAAGTCATCCTGCCGCCTTTTCCGGTGCACCTGGTTTCCTGGGGCCCCGTTTCTGAATCTGTATAGTGGAGACCCTGCTTGGGAGCCTGCTGTCCAGGGTCAGGCACGATCAGCTCCATCTAAGTGTTCACTGCTCACAGTGTTGCTGTGATCCCTGGAGGAACGTGCTCTAGGCACGAGGAAAAACAAATGCAGAGGTCCTGAGGGGACTGGAGAGTGAGCTGGGCTTGCTGAAGGGACTGTAAAAGGGTTAGCTCACAGGACCAGGCAGGAGGCGAGGAAAATGAGGAGAGCCGGGGTGGGGGACCAGGCGTGTCTTGGTTTGCTTTCTACTGCTGCGACAAACCCTATGACCAAAGGCAGCCAGGGGACAAGATTTATTTCGCATTACAGCTAACAGGCCATCACAGGGTGGGGGTGGGGGGACGACAAGGCAGGAACTCAAGGCAGGAACGGAAGCAAAGGCTGAGCTGCTTATTGCCTTGTTCCCCGTGGCTTACACACCCAGGCTTACCTGACCAGGGATAGCACCACCCACAGTGGGCTGGGTGCTCCCACATAAATGTTAATCAAGAAAATGTCCTCCAGTGCCAGCATGGGCATGCTGGCACACACTTTCAATCCCAGCACTCGGTGTGGTGAGTGGAGCAGAGGCAGGAGGATCTCTGTGAGTTTGAGGCTAGCCTGGTCTACATAGCAAGTTACAGGGCAGCCAGGGCTACAAAGAAAGACACTGTCTCAATCCCTTCCCTCCAAACAAAGCCAGGTAGCGGTAGTGCCTTTAATTCCACCTTTCAGGGAACAGAGGCAGGAGGATATCTGAGTTCAAGACCAGTCTTGTTTACAGAGTGAGTTCCAGGACAGCCAGGGCTATACAGAGAAACCCTGTCTCAAAGAACAAAAACAAAAAAAGAAAGAAAGAGAGAGAGAGAGAGAGGGAGGGAGAGAGAGAGAGGGAGAGAG